ATTCTTAATGACAGTTTCGTTGATTGTCATGTATTATTGCATGACAGTCATAAATGCATGACAACCATAGAGGCCTGTCTCTGTAACATTAATTGAGTAGTTGATTTCTTCCTAATAACTGTATTTCCCATCACCAAACACTTGGAAAAATGTAGATATTTAACTGGTTCTCAATAAATACATACTGAGTTGAGTTTCTAAATATATGTTTGTAATTAGCAAAATCCTTATGTTCGAATACATTATAGTTTTCAAAACACTTTCACATATAGAGCCTTATTTAATCTTCCTCGCAGTTTTATTTATTATAGATAGGCAAGGCCATTATTACCCTCATTGTTATTCTCATTGTTATATGATAAAATTGGGACCTAAAAGGAAGCACTGTAGGACCAGCAGATTGTGTAATAGTTTTGTCACTGGACTACCATGTGAGTTGACTGTGGTTCAAGTCCCAGACTGAGTGGCTTAAAAACTCATGCGAGGCGTGTGTGTATGTATGTGTGTGTGTGTGTGTGTGTGTGTGTGTGCCCAAGATCCCGAGAGAAGAATGGAGAGGGGATTGCAGTGTAGCCATACCCATGGGTTGATTTTTGTTTTCTGTCTCTCCGATGAGTGCATGTACACCATAGCAAAAATCTGTCTCTAAAAAGGCAAAAAAAAAAAAGCATTGTAAAAACTGGTGATCTTTTTTTTTTTTTAAATTTTGTTTCCTGTGGTATGTGTGTGTGGTTTTAGATGTTTTTTTGTTTTGTTTTGTTTTCTTTTTTGATTGAGAAAATTATGATGTCTCTGTCAGGGAAGAGTATGGTCTGGTTTTCTGTTAGCTTGTCTGAAGTTATTCTGAATCTTTTACTTGTAACCAGTATTTTCTGGGATCTTATCCACTTGGCTGGAGGTATGTATCAGGGCCTTCGGGGCAGACTGGTGAGAAAACTTCTTGTAGGTATTTATCAACCATTTATTAATTGTTTTTTGATACATCATTTTTCTTTTTTTTTATAATAACTTATTTTATTTATTCATTAATTTATTTTAATTTGACCAGAGAGAGACAGAAAGAAAGACTGAGAAAGCAAGCTGCCAGGTCCGGAACTCAAACCGTGGTCAGCCATGGGGGAGTGTCCAGCACCCTATCCACCACGCCACCCGCTGGTCCCGATACATCATTTTTCAAAGAAATCTCATCTTGTATGTCAGCTTCATAATTAGGAGAACATGTATGGAGGGCTCTGTTCAGAAAATTCTAAAACTCTGTTTAGTTTCACAACAAGGGATTTAATTTCAACAAAAACATGAGAGTAGGGAGAAGGTGTAATTATGCCTTATATTTATCATTTAAGTAATATTAGGTCAGTTTTTAATTTCCTCTTTAAAATTTTTTACCTTCAATCACTGTGTAGCATTACAGCATAGCAAATGAATTTCCCATTATAAATACACTCATATCAATGACATTACCATATACATTATAATCAACATATTGCTTTCCATTTTGGGTTCCTTAAATATTTTGCTTCTTTCTTTTTCCCCTTGACAAATCAGTATTTTCTTGATGTACATTTGTAATATAATTATCTAAATTTCTAATCTTTTTCTTTGAACAAAAAGGGAAGAAAAATGTCACTTTTGGATGTCATGGTCCTTTTCTAACCAAAAGGCACCATCCTGTCTCTTAATTTATTCATGTTTTCTCTGTCCCTAACTTTTGTACTATAGCTATGTATAACTAGTTTCTCAACTAACTTTTATATTTTTCCTGTGGTTTTTGTAACTGACTTTGGTGAAACTGTCTTCAAAGAATAATTCAGGCACCAGCAGTTAGCGTAATGGCTATGTTGCTGGACTCCCATGCTGGACCCGGTGACTTAAACTCACGCCAGGCACATGTGCGTGCATGCCCAAGATCCTGAGAAGAGATTGGAGGAGAAGGGATTGCAGCATGGCCATCCCCCCCTGGGGGGTGATTTCTCGCTTTCTGTCTCTTTGTCTCTGTCTTCCTGGCAAGTGCACATGCCCTATAGCAAAAACCTCTCAAAAAGAAAAAAAAGAATTCAGACTTTACTATGTTAAAGTGAAATAGGAAATTAAATCACTGATATATTAAGAAAATAATGTCTTTATTAAAGATAGCCTCTTTGGATTTATATATATAAGTAACTGTAGAGGTAAAAATAGCCCGAGGCCTAAAATACAGAAAATAGTCATATATCTATATCTATAGTCTACTTATATCTATTCAGTTATTCACTCTTTAACAAATATTTATTGAGTTGTCGCAGTGGGTCAGGCACTGGGACTAGTCACTGGAAATGTGACAGGGAAGGAAGATGCACTCATAGAACACTCACAGAGTATACATTTTATTTGAAAAGTTAGTAAATATTTTAAAATTTTGTCTTTCCCTCACTCAATTTTTGTCATTTTTTGTTCTTTTAAATAATTTTTAAAAATACCTATTACTAAATACCAACAGACCACATTTTTAGGAAAAAAATTTTTTCTTATCATAATTAATTTTGAAGTAGGAATTCAGGCTCAGATATTCTGTTATTTATTTATTTATTTTAATATGCTATAGGTTGTGCATGTTTGCTGGAGATGGGGAAGGTGGGAAAGAGAGAGAGTACACTTCCCCAGAGTGTACCACAATCCTCTCTCCTCCATTCTCCTCTTGGGATTTTGGGCATACACACACACAGGCCAGGTGTCTCTCCTCCATTCTTCTCTTGGGATTTTGGGTACACACACACTAAGGCCAGGTGTCTTTTTAAAGCCACCATATCTAGGACTTGAACCATGCATTCAGGAATGTGTAATCCAGACATTATAACCATGCCACCAACTGGGCTGACCTTATTATTTACTTGGTTTCTAATTTTCTTTTTGATGACAAAAAGAATAAAAAATTTGCAACTCACAACATAGGTAAATTAAAATTATGCACTTAAAGGAGAATAAATTCATTCCATTTTTAATTAAAAAAATCTCATCTTGTATGTCAGCTTCATAATTAGGAGAACATGTATGGAGGGCTCTGTTCAGAAAATTCTAAAACTCTGTTTAGTTTCACAACAAGGGATTTAATTTCAACAAAAACATGAGAGTAGGGAGAAGGTGTAATTATGCCTTATATTTATCATTTAAGTAATATTAGGTCAGTTTTTAATTTCCTCTTTAAAATTTTTTACCTTCAATCACTGTGTAGCATTACAGCATAGCAAATGAATTTCCCATTATAAATACACTCATATCAATGACATTACCATATACATTATAATCAACATATTGCTTTCCATTTTGGGTTCCTTAAATATTTTGCTTCTTTCTTTTTCCCCTTGACAAATCAGTATTTTCTTGATGTACATTTGTAATATAATTATCTAAATTTCTAATCTTTTTCTTTGAACAAAAAGGGAAGAAAAATGTCACTTTTGGATGTCATGGTCCTTTTCTAACCAAAAGGCACCATCCTGTCTCTTAATTTATTCATGTTTTCTCTGTCCCTAACTTTTGTACTATAGCTATGTATAACTAGTTTCTCAACTAACTTTTATATTTTTCCTGTGGTTTTTGTAACTGACTTTGGTGAAACTGTCTTCAAAGAATAATTCAGGCACCAGCAGTTAGCGTAATGGCTATGTTGCTGGACTCCCATGCTGGACCCGGTGACTTAAACTCACGCCAGGCACATGTGCGTGCATGCCCAAGATCCTGAGAAGAGATTGGAGGAGAAGGGATTGCAGCATGGCCATCCCCCCCTGGGGGGTGATTTCTCGCTTTCTGTCTCTTTGTCTCTGTCTTCCTGGCAAGTGCACATGCCCTATAGCAAAAACCTCTCAAAAAGAAAAAAAAGAATTCAGACTTTACTATGTTAAAGTGAAATAGGAAATTAAATCACTGATATATTAAGAAAATAATGTCTTTATTAAAGATAGCCTCTTTGGATTTATATATATAAGTAACTGTAGAGGTAAAAATAGCCCGAGGCCTAAAATACAGAAAATAGTCATATATCTATATCTATAGTCTACTTATATCTATTCAGTTATTCACTCTTTAACAAATATTTATTGAGTTGTCGCAGTGGGTCAGGCACTGGGACTAGTCACTGGAAATGTGACAGGGAAGGAAGATGCACTCATAGAACACTCACAGAGTATACATTTTATTTGAAAAGTTAGTAAATATTTTAAAATTTTGTCTTTCCCTCACTCAATTTTTGTCATTTTTTGTTCTTTTAAATAATTTTTAAAAATACCTATTACTAAATACCAACAGTCCACATTTTTAGGAAAAAAATTTTTTCTTATCATAATTAATTTTGAAGTAGGAATTCAGGCTCAGATATTCTGTTATTTATTTATTTATTTTAATATGCTATAGGTTGTGCATGTTTGCTGGAGATGGGGAAGGTGGGAAAGAGAGAGAGTACACTTCCCCAGAGTGTACCACAATCCTGTCTCCTCCATTCTCCTCTTGGGATTTTGGGCATACACACACACAGGCCAGGTGTCTCTCCTCCATTCTTCTCTTGGGATTTTGGGTACACACACACTAAGGCCAGGTGTCTTTTTAAAGCCACCATATCTAGGACTTGAACCATGCATTCAGGAATGTGTAATCCAGACATTATAACCATGCCACCAACTGGGCTGACCTTATTATTTACTTGGTTTCTAATTTTCTTTTTGATGACAAAAAGAATAAAAAATTTGCAACTCACAACATAGGTAAATTAAAATTATGCACTTAAAGGAGAATAAATTCATTCCATTTTTAATTTCTCATTATAGATATTGGTTCCGGTTTTATCTATAGCCATCATTAATGAAATTTTAGGAGTATAGAGTTAAAGAATTTAGAAGTAAGTAAAATCACTAGATAGGCCCCTGAGAAGAGACTTAAAATCTTTTAACCAAATCAGTTATTTTTGTAGATTCTATGTTTTGTAATTATGATTTATTTTCTAAATGCAGTTCAATTACTTTATCTTTCAGATCTTGACAGAGCAAGTGTGTACTCAAGTTGTACACAAACCTCATCCAGAGCCAGATTCTACAGTGAAAATTCAGAATCCAAGTGAGCAAATGCTGGCGTTTATTGTTTATTGTATTGTGGTGGTTACATGGCAACATGTGAGACTAACTCAAAACTTATGACTGTTTAATCCATTCTGATGTTTACGTAGTTTATGACTCTTTAAATTTTCCTACCTTAGTACTAAGTATTTATTTAGAAGTCAGTGATTTTTGAGTTGAGTATACGATACGTTTGTAAAGTTTTGGTTTTGCTTTTTTAGTGATTCTTAAGGTGGTGGCAACTTTGTTAAAAAACTCTACACCAAGTGCAGAACTGATGGAAGTACGCCGTTTATTTTTATCTGACATGATAAAACTTTTCAGTAATAGCCGTGAAAATAGAAGGTAAGCAGTTTGAATACTATAACAAATCTTGATTCCATAATTAATTTTTTCTCTATTTCAGTCTATTCAAATAAAAATATTTCAGATATTTCCCATATTACTACTCATTAGAAAAAACAGTATGTGTCTTTCATATAATCTGTAGTTAGTGTTCTTTATTTTTATATGCTTTTATTTGATTGTATAGGTTTACATGCTATCAATTTATTTTAATTCTGTATAGGAATATTCATGTACACAGTCTTGTATTTAAAATGCACTATATTTATTTTGGTGATATCTATCATCAAGAGTACTAGTAAGTTGTAACTGTGTTTAACTTGCTTATATTCATTTGTTTTTCCCTCCAACTTTCTTTTATGACTGATTGTTGTCATGTATTTTTAAGTTGATTAGTGAGGAAACGAGATAGAGTCTAAGGGCCATGAACTCTATGGCAGTTACTGCCTGAGTCCTTTAACATATATCAGTGAGTGTCTCTGTTGGTATGAAGCATTGTGTTGCTCAGGGTAGTCAGTACCTATATTAGTACAGTCTGGTGGGAAATACAGCCATGAAGCGATGATTAATTTATAATGTGTTAAAGTACATTATGAGTGCTGCATGTGAAGAAGGAGAGAAATAACCTAACCTGACTGGGAGAATTAGAAAAGTAATTTTGAATAATTAGGTCTTTTTCAGGTAAGAAATGGGGAAAAGTCACTCAGGTATAGATTATAGCGTGTGTATGTTCCTTGCAATACTTAGGGCAGATGATATTTTCATTATTTTAATCTAAATTTTGAAGTGGTAGATTCATAGTTTTAGGTATTTTTAATGAGTTTTTTTTTTTTTTTCTCTCTCTCTAGATGCTTATTGCAATGTTCAGTGTGGCAGGATTGGATGTTTTCTCTTGGCTATATTAATCCTAAAAATTCTGAAGAACAGAAGATTACCGAGATGGTCTATAATATCTTCCGGATTCTTTTATATCATGCAATAAAATATGAATGGGGAGGCTGGAGAGTTTGGGTGGATACTCTTTCAATCGCCCATTCTAAGGTACCAAGATTTCACATTTGATATAAGGGTTTCAGCAGTGAATTAAATGGAATAAACACTCATCTGGTGCCATCTTGTGGGCTTCTTGATTATGGCAGATTCCTTTATCCCAGTTTTCTCTCATGTTTTTTCCACCCTCTGTCCATAAACTGTTAAAATTTGAAAGTATTTTACACGTCATTTAATTAAAACTGCAAGTGTATAAATTAGGAATTTTAGGCCCCAAAGTGACCTACTCCTGTTGTAGTATGTCTGAGAACCTGAGTCTCAGCCAATTATTCTTTTAACTACAACATTCCTACTTGGTTCTTATAAAACTACTTTATGAAAGTCTGAACTTTTTAATACTTATTTAGAAATAGTTTTCCATTTTCAAGTGAATTACCAATACCTTTAAAGTATTTAAGTTTAGTGGTATTTTTAATTACATTATTTCTTCTTTATTTTTAATCTCAAATATCTGTGTATCTGTATTTTGAATATTATTTGATCTTTGGTAAAATGAAGTCGTGTATTAATGTGCATGAATGTATGCACATTAGCGACTGGAAATTAGTAGTTATGGTTTCTCATCATTTTGTATCACAGAAGCATGGACATCAGAAGTCTGACTATTAATCTAGTCTTTGTTGTAATGGAGTTTTGTAATTCAAGAAATTAATTTAGTCCTTTTTAACAGGGGTTAGAAAACTTTTAAAGGAACAGATAGTAAATACTGGTATGTGAGGCTTACTAGGCTCTACAGCCTCTGATGCACCTACTTAACTCTGCTGTATTGTATGACATCAGCCATAGATAATATGTAAATGAACCAGCTTGGCTGTGTTCTAGTAAAATTTTATTTACCCATGCAAATATCAAGCAAATTCAGCTCATGGGTCATAGATTTCCATACTCACTTTGGAATTTCCTTTTTCTTTTGTAAAATTTAGGTGTTTTTTTTTTTTTAATGATTTTTGTGTAATATAAAAAAGCATTTTGAACATTTATTTCTGTTACAAATTTACATTTTGTAATATAGTAGCACCTTAGATTTAAGAATTGCTTCAACATATTAGGAAACAGCAACAGAAAATACATAACTTTTTAGTGTGTGTGTGTGTGTGTGTGTGTGTGTGTGTGTGTGTGTATGTCCTGGTTATTTCTAAACAAGTCTGTACAAAGTAACAAATTCAAAGTACTGAGGCCAGAAGGTAGCCTAGTGGTTAAAGTGCTGGACTCCCATCTGGCTGACTGCAATTTCAGTCCTGATAGAGAGGTTCAAAACACACCAGGCATGTGTGCATGTATGCCCAAAGTCCCAGGAGGAAAATGGAGGAGAAGGTGTTAGAGCTTGGTCATCCCCTTTGGGGGGTGATTTCTTACTTTTCTCACTGTCTCTCTCTCTCTCTTTGGTAAGTGCATATACTCTGTAGCAAAAAAAACTCTTAAAAAATTTAAAGTAGCTTATAAAAGGATAAAGCTGGTGTTTTAACAATTTATAAATGTATATGTTTATAGATATGTGCGAATGCTTTTTAATTTCACTTGTTGCAGTGGGTGCACATATGAACAATAGATGGTAAAAAGTGACATAGGAAGTAGAACTTTTGATAATGTATATTATTAGTTGCTAATTCCCTGTTTAAACTCAAATAAGAAAAGTATCATACTTAATTAGCTTATTAGGTTTCAGTAATGCTGAAATATTTAATCTAATAGAAAGGAACATTTAATATTCATTTACCTAACTCTGATTTTGGGCCAGTCATGGAATAAATATTATATAACTGTATTTGATACTATTTCCAGTTACTTAATGAAACTATACTGTCATTTAAGATTAACATTTGCTAAGTATGAAATCTTAAAATGTATAATGCTCTAGTTGTTATTATTTCCATAATTTTATCTGTATTTTTTCTTCATAATATGTATACATTAATGTGTTCATTACTTATTCCCAAGGTCACATATGAAGCACATAAGGAATACCTAGCCAAAATGTATGAAGAATATCAAAGACAAGAGGAAGAAAACATTAAAAAGGGAAAGAAAGGAAATGTGAGCACCATCTCTGGTCTTTCATCACAGACAACCGGGGCCAAAGGTGGAATGGAAATTCGAGAGATAGAAGATCTTTCTCAAAGCCAGAGCCCAGAAAGTGAGACAGATTACCCCGTCAGCACAGACACTCGAGATCTACTCATGTCAACGAAAGTGTCAGATGATATTCTCGGAAATTCAGATAGACCGGGAAGTGGTGTACATGTGGAAGTACATGATCTTTTAGTTGATATAAAAGCAGAGAAAGTGGAAGCTACAGAAGTAAAGCTTGATGACATGGATTTATCTCCAGAGACTTTAGTAGGTGGAGAGAATGGTGCCCTTGTGGAGGTTGAATCTCTCTTGGACAATGTATATAGTGCCGCTGTTGAGAAACTCCAGAACAATGTACATGGAAGTGTTGGGATAATTAAAAAAAATGAAGAAAAGGATAATGGCCCATTGATAACATTAGCAGATGAGAAAGAAGAACTTTCCAGTAGTAGTACATCATTTCTCTTTGATAAAATACCAAAACAGGAGGAAAAACTTCTTCCTGAACTTTCTAGCAATCACATTATTCCAAATATTCAGGACACACAAGTACATCTTAGTGTTACTGATGATCTCGGATTGCTTGCTCACATGACTGGTAGTGTAGACTTAACTTGTACATCAAGTATAATAGAAGAAAAAGAGTTCAAAATCCATACAACTTCAGATGGGATGAGCGGTATTTCTGAAAGAGACTTAGCATCATCAACTAAAGGGTTAGAGTATGCTGAAATGACTGCTACAACTCTGGAAACTGAGTCTTCTGGTAGCAAAATTGTACCAAATATTGATGCAGGAAGTATAATTTCAGATACCGAGAGATCCGATGATGGCAAAGAATCAGGAAAAGAAATCCGGAAAATCCAGACCACTACTACAACACAAGTAAGCCATCTTGTATAAATTCTTTAAAAAAAAAAAAAAAAGAGCACTAAATAGATATTGAGTAGTTAACACCAAACAGAATAATTTCTTAGCAGTTACATCGTACTTGTATTCAATTATGGTATGGCATTAATTTTTGGAATCAAGTAGACTGGTGGCACATATATACATATATGTGAAGTGAAATTAAAAATATCTGAATTGTATTTACAACAACTCTGCCACATTCTTCTTTGTAACTGCTCAACCTTTCTGGGCCTAAGTTTCCTTATACAGTAGAAGAGGTTGTTCTAGATTAAAATAGACCTTTAAGGTCTCAACAATTATAGCATTTTATCACTCTGTGACTAAATTTACGCATTTTGTACTCGAGATCTTCATCTGAATACTTGATTAATTTTAACCTTTTAAGCTTCAGGCCCAACCCTGTTCTGTGGATTATAGAAAAGAGGACTTGGAGCCCAGATTGAACTGATAAATGAAGGGGAAGGGAAAAGGGAACTGTTATTTATTAAGTGCCTACTATGTTCCAGGCACTGTGCTATATGTTTTCAGATTTAATCCTCACAACAACCGTGTGAGGTAGGTAATATGGTTGAGAAAATTTGGAATTATTAGCAGTGAGAATTTTCTTTAAGACCTTATGAACAGGAATTTGTTTATGAGAAAATTATATACTCTCAGACCTATTGGAGAGAAAATTTTACTGTCGCAGTTTTGGCCTCACCATAGTAAAGCTAAAAACAGGTGATGCTTTTTGATATGAATTTCATTGTTGAGCTTTGAGCTATGACTGCTCTTTATTTCTAGGCTAAATAATCCCTTATGGGTAAGAGTTTAAGAAATAATAATAATTTGGATTTTATTGTCCTCTAGGTTTTCCATTTTCCTTTTAATGTCTTTTAATGTTTAAATATGTTTCCATGAGAGTCATATTATAGAGAGTAAACTATGCCTCACTGGTGTCTATGTTCTTCAGTAAATATCTGCAATAATAAATTTTGTGTATGGGAAAGATATTTTTATTTGTTCTCTGTTAATTGCCAGTTTCCATTTTTTGTGGCATTTGTGCTTGAACAGTGATAAAATTGGCAGGGGAGGGAATAGTGAATTAAATATTTAAAATAAAGGAAAACAAGAAGCATTATTTATTGAATATAATCACTATGCTTGCTTGGTTTTCATTTGGAAATGATAGACATTTTTCTGATTTGCTTTAGAACTTATCAAATACATTTTTAATTGAAATACTGTGAGTGAAATAGACTTTAAAATTAACTTTAATCTGTTCAAGTGATATTTCTTCTTGTCTTATGTTTATAGCTGCTATTAGTTAATGACATATATCCAGTATAGTTTACTCTGTATATGCTCTCTTTAATAAAAAAGTCACTGTGTTCTAACATGAAGTCCCCATAATGAGGTAAAGTGAATACTGATTTTCTACCTTAGGTATTTGATTACCTTGTCTAGTTTTTGCAGTAATAAAATAGGAGCAATAATAGTAGCTTTTTCAGCACAAAAGGTTCCTGCACAGGAATTACTAGGTGAATCATATCTGTAAAATATGTTAGTCTACTAAAGCTGCAGGCAGAAACTTTATCTATTCACTCACTTTACTTACCATTTTTCTTTTGAAATTAGGCATTTTTTTTGTAATCTACAAAAAATTATTTTTCTTTATTTTAGGCTGTTCAGGGTCGCTCTGTCGCCCATCAAGACCGAGATCTCCGAGTTGATTTAGGATTTAGAGGAATGCCAATGACTGAAGAACAGCGGCGCCAGTTCAGCCCAGGCCCCCGTACCACGATGTTTCGGATTCCTGAGTTTAAATGGTCTCCAATGCATCAGCGGCTACTTACCGATTTGCTATTTGCGTTAGAAACAGATGTACATGTTTGGAGGAGGTAGAACTATTTCTTTTCCATAAATAAGACTACTTTCACTTAGGGATGACTATTTTTATTTACTGGCATCAGTCAATCCATAGGTGATATGTATCATTTAATAAAACTCATAAAACTTAAATTTATTTAAATAATTCATTACTTTAGGGCCCAGCCATGTAGTTCACATGGTACACTGCTATTTGGCAGGGTGGAGCCACACAGGAGGCCCGAGTTCAGTTCTGGCCCATCTTCATTAAAAGGCCCAGTGCGGCAGCATACTGTGGTCCCAACCCCTTGAGAGGAAAGAGGATTGGTCTGTATTGAGACTTAGTCATAAAAGAAAGGTTTTTAAAAATAAACAAATAAATATTATATTGTAAGAGTTATGGGTCATATGCCTGTAGATAATCAACTGCTTTTGCTTAATTAAAAAGGAAAGATTTTAAATCTGGCATAACCTCTTCTATATAAAAGAGTTAACAACAACCAAAATATCAGCCTTTTTTTCTTTCTTCTTTTTTTTTTTTTTTTTTTTTTTTTGAGAGGTTTTTGCTGTACGGCACATGTGCTCGCCAGAAATACAGAGAGAAACAGACAGAAAGCAAGAAATCACCCCCAGAGGAGATGGCATGCCGCAGTCCCTTCTCCATTCTCTCGGGATCTTGGTCATGCATACACATGTGCTCAGTGTGAGTTTAAGCCACTGGGTCCGGGACTTGAACTGTGGTCAACTACATGGTAGATCAGCAACATAGCCATTATGCCAACTGCTGATCCCAAAAAATCAGCTTTTATTTAAAATAATTTCTCCATTCTTATTCTTTTCTGTTAAAATTAGTATCATGCACTAAATTTATTCTTGGTAATAAAATGATAACCCCTGTGACACATACAGCTTTAGAGCCTATTCTCTTAAAGCAGTAAGTGGCTATCAGTTCAGATAAAGTCACATTTAAAAGACCACATAAATTAAATCATAACCTTTCCTCATTCTCCATTTAATTTTCTAAGACCAAATATACAACAAATTAATCACTTATAACAGTGTATAATTTATAAGCTTGTCTGAGGGGAATTTTAAAAATGTGTGTAAAATATAATTCAGAGTAGGAGTTTATTTTGGTGTAAGAATTTTTGAAACTCATGCATAGCTCTCTTTTTTTTTGGAGAGTTTTTTTTGCTATAGGGTGCGTGCGCTCGCCAGCCAGACAGAGAGAGACATAGAGACAGAAAGCGAGAAATCACCCCCCAGGGGGAATGGCCATGCCACAATCCCTTCTCCTTCATTCTCCTCTCGGGATCTTGGGCACGCACGCACACGCGCCTGGCCTGAGTTTTAAGCCACCAGGTCCAGGACGTGAACCGCGGTCGACTATGTGGGAGTCCAACAACATAGCCATTATGCTAACTGCTGGTTCCCCCATAGCTCTTTTATAAATGCATTTTCCATGGATTTTTTTTAATAACCCTCCCATTCATAGTGAATTAGGAAGTTGATGGCTGTCAGAAAATACTATTCCGCCAGCAACTTGAACAGTCAGCTGTACCACATTCTGAGGCCTCAAAGTGGCTTCTTTACTCCCACTTTTCCTTTAAGGATTCAGAGTATCTGCTTCAGCTTCCTATATGAATTCAACATAAGTAATTTGCCCAAATTAAACTCAGGGGCTCTTTTCTTCTTTCTTTAATCTCCTTATTTATTTTCTTCTTCCTTTTCTTCTCTATTCTATTTCTCTTTTTCTTCACTCTTTCTTTTCTCATCTACTCTTCCACCTCCCCTCACAAAAGAAACCCTGCAACAAGTTTCTCCCTTATTTCATGGCCAAAAGGATCATACACTCACTTTTTTTTTTTTTTAAACACTCACTTCTAAATCAGCCACCAGCAAAAGGGAATGACTGGCTTATATGGAGCAACGCCCCATAACTGGGATGAAGTCAGTCTTTTCTGTAGCACATCCAGCTCAATAACAGAGCAGAGATCCAGCACGTGTTAACAGAGACTATTTCATGACTATTACGGAAGTGGTCAATAAAATCTGCCATAGAGAATTGTGATTTATTTTTTATTTGATTTGATCAGTTTGTTCTTGGGCTACTTGTATATCTACATTGTAAATACTTCTATATACTAAATTACTTAAGGATGATAACTAAGGACAACAGAATACCAGGAAATAATACATTAAGAAGGCCAATAATAGCCTTCTCTTTGTTTCTACATTGTAATACTCAGTTTTCCTTCCATCATTATATTGTCTGTCTTTGTTTCCTTTCATGGGTTTTCATGAAATTCTCCAAATGAATGTTAGGTAATTAAAAAATTTTTAAACATAGCATTTGAACATCTTGAAATTCAGGCTATAATAGATAATATATTACAGCTTTAAAAAGATGAATTGTTTAGTTTTTTTTTTGATCATGGAGTAGTCTTTTTTTTTTTTTCTCATTCTTTTCCCTTTAGAAAACTGTTCAAAGTCTTGACTAAAATTACAATAAAGCAGTCTATTTCTTTTGGTATCTACTTTGTGTATTTTTTTATAGGAAAGCCGCATTGCTGACCAACTTTGAAACCTATTTCTCACTTTTTTTAATAAGTTTCTGAATTTTTACTGACTTCTTTATACTCCCCTATCATGTCATATGCAGTGTATACATACAACTTGACTGGTCAAAGCCCTGCTGCTGTCATTTGTTATGCAATAAATTGAAACAGCCTAACAAGTAAAACTTGCAGTTTACTGTCCAGTTTTGCCTTTCAACACAAAACACCCAGCTTTAGCAAAGCTAAATATTTTTATACAAATTCATTGACCTAGTTATATCTCTTAGAATCTAGGTAATAACATGTTTTTCAAGCAGAAACAAAATAATGAGAGACCAACCATTTGGACACAAAAGAACCTGCTAAATGAATGCTTATTGTTTCATAATATGATATCCTGTGTGTAAATTATTTTTAATAATGTTATTCTAAATGAAATATCTAAACCTTTTGTTTTTAAAGCAAAGAAAATGTTTATTTTGTTTGTTTGTTTTTGTCATTTTAGCCATTCCACAAAGTCTGTAATGGATTTTGTCAATAGCAATGAAAATATTATTTTTGTACATAACACAATTCACCTCATTTCCCAAATGGTAGACAACATCATCATTGCTTGTGGAGGAATTTTACCCTTGCTTTCTGCTGCTACATCACCAACTGTAAGTACTTTGCTTCCATCTAGTGGTTATGTTTTAAATGACATGACTTGAGCATTGCAATTGTGTTCTGTACTGAATAGGTGGATTTTTAACAAGACATATTTTCCTGGGGGGTAATTGTAACCAGTTAAATTTATATTCCCACCTCTTTTATTTATCATCATTGGGTTCCAGCTGTATGTATTAATGAAAATGTTCATTTTGTAATTCTGATGACTACTTCTTGGAAAGAGATATGACTATATAGGAATTAAAATTTTTTTTCTATATTGCATATCTCTTCAAATTCACAGTATAATAAACTATTAAAATCCTTGTATACGACATTTTCACCTGACTTTATTCTTCAATATTTTATTTAAAAGAAATGTAGCCCTCTCTTTGTTTCTACATAAACCATTAAAATGTCTTGATATAATAAATTTGAAAAGCATATAATATTCTTATATATTTTATTTAAAATATATCTATCAGTGTTAAATTTACCTTTAGTTGTCATATTAAAATATCTCCGATTCATACCAAAACAGATTTTGTAGGTACTTGCTCAGAGGGGAAGTGATATAAAGCAATGCTTCCCATATTACCCGTGTTCTTACTGCTGTATTGAAACTCATCCTTAATCCCAGAACGTATTCCTTTGACAGAGAGATATCTGTGTTATCAACATGTCTATTGTTTGATAAGGCAGTGTTTCCAAACTAATTTCTGACCTTATTTCATCACTAACCAGCTTTTCTGTATGACTTTTCTTCACTGTCATTTTGTCAATTCTCTCATTATTAGAGTGACTATGAAACATACATGAGCAGCAGCAGAGTGTATCCCCACACACCTCCCTCAGGGACACAAACCTCTTTCAGGGACACACATCTTTGTTTCATCTATGAACTCTCTCTTCAAGAAGTCTACAAAGCTAATAAGCAGGGCAGTTCAGAAAATGGTTATAACAGAACAGGTTATCAGTAGAGCCTAGTGGGATTAGTAGCTATTCCAGGGAAATGGACCTGGGAACAACAACGTAGTTGATGGTCTACAGAGAGTACAGGTATCCTGAGATTCACATAGCATCCCTTCTTTTTAATCTCTCCTCTTTCCTTGGTGATTTATACTAGTTTTGATAAATCAAGAGTTGTGTATGATTTTTAAAATGCAGTGCATTCAAATTGAGACATGGAAGGTTTTTTTTTTTTTTTTTATACATTTAAGACAGTAAATCAATGATTTTTGTGTGGCATTTTCCTTCATGTCAGTTTTGCTTTATGTCTTCTAATTATGTGTTGTTAAGAAAATTTGAAATTAAAGCTCACTTTAAAATGTAGTACTGCCTGTTTTAAATGTTGTATAGAAAGAAATATGATTTCTATAAAATAAACACTTTAGCAATTAATTATTAAAATTTGCATAGGCTTAAAATACATTATTTATCTTCTAATTTTTAAAGCAGAAGATAGAAAAAATATTAAATTAATGAAATAAATTTGTAAACATTATGACTTACATACCATTTCACCACCCAAGTTTGCTTATATTTTATTTTATAATGAATATAAAATAAATACTGACATTAAAATTTGAGCCTCAAAACTATAAGCTGTATAAGTCTTACCACAGTAGTTTGTAATTTACAAACTTATTTTATTACCTAGACTGTTCCCAACAGACTTGGGACATTTTTCAGATGTAGAAACCTTTGTTTATTGTCTCTTTTTCTGTATTTTAAGTTACTTTGGTCCATTAACTTATTGTACCTATTCTTGGTTGTACAACATACTTCATTTAATATTTTTCTTAAAGAATTATTTAATTTACTTATTTATTTGTTTGTTTTTTTTCACATGAGTTTTGCCAGAAAAAGGCAGAGAGAGAGAGCAAGCCACCAGGTCTAGGACTTGAACCATGGCTGGCCAATGTGGAAATTCCAGCACTTTAACCACCTGCTGGCCCCAATATTCTTTTTTTTTTTTTTTCAGAGGTTTTTGCTATAGGGCGCGTGTGCTCGCCAAACAGAGAGAGACAGAGACAGAAAGCGAGAAATCACCCTCCAGAAGGGATGGCCACACCGCAATCCTGTCTCCTCCATTCTCCTCTCGGGATCTTGGGCACACACGCACACACGCCCGGCGTGAGTTTTAAGCCACCGGGTCCAGGACTCGAACCATGGTTGATTATGTGGGAGTCCAGTGACATAGCCATTACGCTAACTGCTGGTCCCCCAATATTCTTTTTGTAAATGATATTTGGGTCACACATATTTGATGTACATCTTTGTGAGGTTTTTGAAAAAAATGAATGGTTTTGAAAGCACGTATGGTTTCTGAAAGCATGAATACAGTGTGTACTAATCAAATCAAGGATACGAACATAAACATTTTCTTCAACATTGAAAATTAATTATGTTGTGCACATTTGGTAACATTTGTACTAGTTTTTATTTTCTTAAGTATGTATTGAATGCCCGTACTATTTACTCTGCTGTGTTATACTGCTCCATAACCCAATCCCTTTATTACATGTATTGTTTTGAACATTAAAAACATTTTCTCCTGAACCCCCACTTCTTATATTTTGAATAAATTGCTTCCTTAAAGGAAATAGCAAGAGTTTATTTCCACTTTGTATCTGGTGGAACTGTGACTGGTGCTAATTTTGTGTTACTAAGTTATATCACTTTTTGCCAGCAGTTGTAATATAGTATAGGGAAATATTTAGGAAGGAGGAGATTGACTATAAAAGGAAATTAAGGGGCTAGCAGGTGGTGTGGGGTTTCAGGGACTGGATCCCACATGGCCTACTCCATAGTTCAAGTCATGGAGCATTTACACGTGTGCCCAAAATCTGGAGAGGAGAAGGGGATTGCTATTTGGCCCTTCCCCGGGGGGCAATTTCTTCCTTTCCCTCTTTCTGGTGAACGCATACACCCTATGGCAAAAATCTTTTTAAAAAGAAAATAAAAAACAGAAAATGTAGGCTTTCTGAACTTAGATTTAAATTGTAAAAAGCCAAGAGAGGGGCTGGCAGGTGGCGTGGCAGTTAGGGCATGGACTCCCACATGCCCGACCATGGTTAGAGTCTTGGATCTGGAGACTTGCTTCCTCACTTTCCCTCTCTGATCAAATTAAAATAAATACATAAATAAATAAAGTTAAATATAATTATTCTTTTTTTTTAAAGCCAAAAGGGAATATTGGAAAGAATAAGAGAAAAAGGAACATTAACAACTTACATATTATAGAAGGGAATCTTTGTCTTGTAGATATCATTGCAGTTTCAAGCATAGATATATGAAAAGAGAAACATTTGAAACTAATGCTTGTGAGATCTGGTCATTTTGTTTAGGTTGTATAGACTTTTCCAAATAATCATATTTGAAGATAGGCATTTTATGGCTAATTAGGAAGAATGATGGTTTATGGCACTGATTGGCAAACTTTTTCTGTATGGGGTCAGATATTAGTAAATGGTTTAGATTTTGTGGGCCATACGTTATCTGTCCCATCTACTAAACTCTGCTGTTATAATGCAAAAGGAGCCATAAGTGGAACATAAATAAGTAGACATATATGTGTTTCAGTAAAACTTTATTTATAGAAATAAGTTGTGGGACAAGATTTGTTAAATTTAAATTTATTTATTTACATTCATTCACTATACATCATTACAACATACAAAATGAGATTTCCCATCCAGAATACACTGTATATTGGCTCAATCAAGCACATCAATATACATGTTATCGTCAACAAATAATTTTCCATTTCTTGTTTCCTGTATGTATGTATGTATGTATGTATATATATATGTTTGCTTTTTTTTTCCTGTCCTTGATTCCCTCTCACCCTCTGCTGTGTCCCACCCTCCCTCCACATTGTTTCTGGTACCCATGGTTTCTTTCTACGCCCCCCCCCATTTTATTGATTCACTAATGAATTTAATTAATCTAAATATTTCCAATAGCAAGTGCCGCTGATATATACATATCTGTGAACACAAGTCTGACTTTAGGCATAAACCTCAGTGAGTAGAATGAACATATATAACCCATGAGTCCCAGATTGCTGATAAGTGATATAGGATATAAGCTCCACATAAAATAAGAATATTATAGTTTAATCACTTACTGTGAAAATTTTATTATTTATTTGAAAATTCAGTATTTAGAGCTTAATATACATTCAAACTTTCCATTGAAGCAAGAATTTAAATTTCACTTACTGGCAATTTACTAAAGTTTACTTTTTAAGATAGTATTACTGAAAGTTGTGATCATTATATTCTGTTAAAAGATACATAACCTTTCACACTTAGCCACACTATTTTTTTGAAAGGATAGGTAGAATGATAAGTATTCTTTCTAGTTTCCTATTTAAGATATAATGACACAACTTAAATCAGGAATATGTTTTATTTTTCAGATTAAATGTACATCTAAGATGATTGACTCCTTTTTGACAAAAACAAACTTGTTTGTCAATATTGATGAGATTCCAGTATGACCTTTTTTGAAATCAGTATGATTTAAAAGAAGGGGTGTGAGTTCCAGCATCTAATAGATCTGATTTTTCACATGTGCTCCACCATTCACTAGAAATGACCTCAACCTCAGATTCTTCTGAGTATACTGCCCCACAAGGAGTTTGTCAGAATTAAGTTAAGGAATACATGTAAAGTACACTAAATGGAGAGGGCTATTAAGGAAAAGTTTTCTTTCTTGTGTTCTTTTCAGAACTATTTAGCTCTTTTTGGAACTCTTTGCATAATGATAAAATCATCTTCCACTTTATAAAATCCATATTCACAATGTTGAAATTTAAAATAGTTATAGATGATCCATTATAGATGATCCATTTTAATAGCAGAAGCTTAAGTGGCATCTTTTTGTCTACTATTTCCATGGAATTGGCATAGAAGTGGTCTATTTTCTGCCCTTTAACCTTAGATAAATCTAGCAGTCTATACAAAGGACAACATTTCTGTATGCTATAGTAGTATCATAATAGAAAATTTTGAGCTATTATCTTACTTGTAAGGACATATTTTTAATGGAAACTTTAAGAAAAAGAAATCTAGTTATACATATATATTCATAGTGAGCACATTGATTGTAATATTAATGAAGAAACATTTTATTGGAATTGCAGTTTTACCTAGATTATTTGAAATATATAGCATAGAAAATAATAACAAAAATAGTTCCAAGTCTTTAAATCAGGCTGATAGTTTCAACTTAGTACTCATGAAAAGAAATTAGAGTTTTTAGTTAGTAGTTTGACCAATCTTTGGTTTTTGTGAAGGAGCATTAATTTTGTTCTTTTTTGGTATTTTTTTTCTTTGATAACTACTTAGTTTTTGTTTGATGACTACTAAGTTGAATTCTTTGATTTATTCTTTGTTGTAATGCTTAAGTTGGTCATAAATGACAGCACAGAATTAGAGGAAGAAAAATGAAGGGACGAAAAGAACATGGATCAACCACAAATTGCATAGTACTTTCGAGATTTAAAAAAAGTTGACCATTTTGGTTAATCATCCAGAACACTGAATGTTTAAAATTTAATTCTGTGATATATATTGCTTAATTTTCTCTGTTCCTGAAAAATAATTGAGATTGCCATTTCTGGCTTTCCCGATAGTTTCATAATTATAAGAAAGAAAAGCAACTTTATCTTTTACTGTTCAGAAGTGATGAACAAGTCAATTTTAATTTGTTTATATATGTTTTATATCATCAGAGTATACAGTTAACAGATTTGGAAAATTTTCTAATAATGTTCATTCTTTTTTTTTTTTAGCTTAAGTCATAACACTGATCATGCTTTCATATTCTCAGGATGTGTTTGTGTTTTTATATATAATATACGATGAAAATAGTATATTTTGAAATTTGTTGTCAAAATTCAGATATAGAAAAATAGCTAATGACTTTCATTGTAAAACTTAATCTTACATAATTTCTAATAAAATGAATATAATTATTAATATAGTAAGACTCTGAAAATTAATACAAAATCTGTGTAAATTATCTTAGTTTGTATACAGATGTGATTTAGTGTATCTGTAAGTTACTTTCTAGTTCTTTTCTAGGTTTCTAAGTTAAAATCACTCAAATATTTTATCTCTTTAAGTTTTGAGAATTTTGATCTATTGGAAGAGTTTTCTGTGTTTAAGGAAACTATAACATGACTTCCTTGTAGAAAATTCTAAAAGGTTGGTATAAATAGTCATTTCCTCCAGTCATTTCTACCTAAACTAGTACTAAGGTAGGGCTTTTGCAGAGGCATTGTATTAATTTATTTATTAAGATGCTTACTTAATCATCTAGAAAGAGAAGATGTTGCTTTTGTAAAATACAGTGAACATAATTTCTAATATATAGACTATACTTATATATGCTATCTGGACAATTATTAAAAATCTAAGTTTAAATATTAGATATTTAATCATAATCACATGTGATTTATAAAATAAATATATCTTCTGAGAATTTTCATTTACTAAAATAATCAAATATAATTTTTGAATATATTATTTTATGTTTCAATTTTACATTGTATTTTAATTTAATTTTAATAATTTTCTTTTCTTGTACTTTTTTTGGTCTGTTGTCTGTTTTGTCTAATGCATGTCCAGGGTTCTAAGGTTAGTATTACTTCTGTAGTAATTTTCAGGTGTTTAGTTTTAAATTTTGTTTTTACTTTTTAATGAAATTTTTGACTTGGTTATAATTTAAGTTTCCATATCATCTTTAACATTAGACATAGCCTTCATATCTTTAAAATACTTATTAAAAGGGTTATGTTTCTAATGCTTTTTTGTATACTACTTCTCATTTATAGTTATCTCTATACTAAACTATTGGAATATAATGAAAAACAATAATGGCACAGTCATGTATAAAATCAGATTTTAATTGGTTCCAATGAAGTAAATTGGATGACATATGTTATTTTAAAATTTAATAATAATAGTATGTGAGTGATCCTTGTTTTTAAACCCTATATTATTATGCTTATTCAAGATTTCAGCATATTTATAAATTACTTATATATAATATAACAAGCTTTCTCTTTTAGGTTATTATTTGTTCTAAGAATGCTTTTTGTTTTAGAATATCATTTAATTATTTTGAAAATAAAAATTTGTAGTCAAAAATAAGTTCGGCAGATTACATGGATATCAGTAATTCTGTTTATAATCTCTATAATCCACCTATTACAATATGAAAGCATATTTTCAGTTAGACTTGAAGACTTCAAAACAAATAAAAAATAAAGTCATTACATTAAGAGAGGAAGGTATCATGTAATTTTAGTAATTTAAAATAATGAAAAATTCTTTGAGAACACATCTCTAGATATACTAAATTCTAAAATTTTGAATAATTATTCAGAATATTTGAAAGAACTATGCAATGACCAGATCTTCTGTTTCATTATAGAATACTGAAATTAAAAACTGAGATTTTGAGATTAATTTTTTGCTTTTTCTTAAAAACTATTGTATCACAATCATGAATCTTTAACTCATGAACTTATGCTGTGTGATGTGCTAGGAAATACAGAGTCTGCATTTAAAAATTCAATAATGAATTAATCATTTTTTTGGGTCATAGATATTGAATGGCAAATCAACAATTGAAAACCAATTTTTATCTGTTTCGAAGCACATTATAGAGAGAATGGTTTTTACTCTATTTTGATGTTAAATGGAAGGAAAAATACTTGTTGTATTTTATACTCCATTTAAAACTGAATTTAGTTATATAATGCTTGCAGTGGTAACCTATCATTTTTATTATCCATCCTGTACACAAGAAGTGCTTGACTTTTTGGGTTTCTTTTTTTGTTTTGTTTTTGTTTTTTCTTTCATTGTTTCCTCCTCACATTTCCATGTTAATGTTCCTGCTTTTTCCAGGCAGGAGGAAGTTTAGGTAGAATGATGGATATAATCAATGTCAAATAGAATATTATACTTAGCACATAGCTATTATATATGTTCACTTTGTAGTTGAATTTATCATGTGGTTAAGAGGTAAGGTTAATCAGTATGACTAGTATGCCCATTCTCAGTAATTGAAACAGTGGTATTTTTAATTTATAAAGCACTCCTGAGTTTTCTCTACTCTGTGGAGCACTGAGAAATTGAAGCCATAATGAACAAAATAATCATAAGGAACAAAAATAATGAAAATGTTGGATAGCATGTAGTAGGGAAAATGTTTCCATTGCTTATAAAACTTCAGAGTTACACAGTTTCAGAACCAGAATACTTTGTATTATTCTCTCTGAAAACAGGAAATTAGATTTTACCCTAGACAATATTTTATCCTAGACAAAAGAAAGTATGCTTCCAGGCTAGAAATGTTACTGACTCCTAGTTTGCTAAGTCATGAATTAAATATTTGAGGAGGAACTAATGATCTTTTGGTTATTTTTGCCATAGAATTTTATTGTGCATATGAAGTACCTAAGAGTTTCAGTTTATTTCTAAAATGGATAAAATTTATTATTCACGTAGATTCTCGTTGGATAGCCATCTCACTTTGATGCCAAACGAACTTATATCTTTCCTGTTAGTTCATCATACAGTTATAGGAAAAATAATTTATTTTATATTTAATGATATAAAATGAAACTAATAAGTATGTATGTTTGTTATCTTTTTTAAAATGATACAAAGTTTGTAATGTAGCTTTTATGACTGAAGACACTTAAAGCTTTTATTCATTTATTTATTTATTTTAGGGTTTTGCCGAAGGGTATGTGAGCTCATCAGAAAGGGAAAGTGAGAATCACTCCCTAGGGGGAATGGCCACACTGCAATCCCTTCTCCTCCATTCCTCTCTTAGAATTTTCGGCATGTATGCATATATGCTGGCTTGATTTTCAAGTCTCCAGATCTGGAACTTGAAATGTGGTTGGCTATGTAGGCATGCAGTGCCTTAATCACCATGCCACCTACTGGCTGTGAAGCTATTGTTGATTTTGAAATGGAATTTTCCTTTATTCAAGGATAATTGATAAGTAAAAAATTTAATTTGATAGCCAGCTCTGGTGACATATAGAATTAGTTTATGATTTATCTTGTTTACAAAATATAGTGAATATGCTAAACTTCTGTTCACCTGCAGTATGTACATGTATTATATTCCAAATTTTAAATAAGACGTAAATCTACTTTTTTAAAGACGGAACTGGAAAATATTGAAGTGACGCAAGGCATGTCAGCTGAGACAGCAGTTACTTTCCTCAGCCGTCTGATGGCGATGGTTGATGTCCTTGTGTTTGCCAGCTCTTTGAATTTTAGTGAGATTGAAGCTGAAAAAAATATGTCTTCTGGAGGTTTAATGCGACAGTGCCTAAGGTTAGGTAAGTCTGTTAAGAATAGCAGTGCACATTAAATAATTATCCACAGATTAATTTTATGAAGCTCTGTATATTATGAAGTACCTAATATATTATGAGTTGATAATTATGTAATGTAACATAGGCACTATCTTGTGATTCCGCAAAATTACTCAATTTTAAACAATTCTATCTTCACATTGGTGATTTCATGGAATTAACCATCTTTAATATTTATTACTTATAATAGAATAAAATAGATTGGAATTACTTCAATATCAGTGAGATAGTAACCTTTTTAAAATTGAAGTGATTTAATGCACATCCATTTGTAAATCCTCTTTTGATAAACTAATACTGAGAGTGGTGTCCTGAGCCCACAAACATACTAGAAAATGAGTTACCTACTATTTTACACAAACAGCTAGAAGGTGAACATTGACTGTCCCAGTCTCACTGTTTCTCACAGAGAACAAATACCCCTAGTAAATATGATTATGCCTATGCTGATCACCTTTTATCTTTTGTTACAAAGAAAATTTATTACAGAAAAGTCTTAGTGAAACTGGAATAATTCTTTAGACTAGAAATATTCTTACCTCTCTTAGCTTTTTCAAAGGAAAACTTACTTTTACTACTGAGACTTTCAAAAATGACCAAAAGGCTACCCTTTTCATATTCACCTGAAAGTCCGAGCAGGGCTTGAAATAAGGAGGAACATTCCTGATATGGACTGTTTTTATCCATAATTTTAAAAGATTATATAGAAAACTACTCAAGTATAGTTGCATTGGAGAAGTTGCTTCTAATTCAAAGAACGAGGAAGGACTTGGATTAAGAATATTGGAACAAAACTCCTTTTATTTTATTATGTATTTTTTATAAATAGGCAAGCTGAGAAATATAATTTCATATCCATGATAAGAGAGAGTGTAACCTTAACAGGAACTCTTTAGCAATCAAGAAGTGTGGGTTAATTTACTATGGCCCATGTTGGCTATTTCCATGGATATTTAAAAATAGCTGCCAGATTGGACTTTGTAAGGAGGACAGATTTTTTTTTTTTTTAAATATCTTGAAACCATTTATTTGGTTATCCTGAACTTTTATTTCTATATAGATTCTAAGACATTACTGCTTATTTCATTTCTATCCTAATAATGCCTAGCAGATTTAGTTATTTTGTCACCCACAGGAAACTTTTAGAAGTGAGTAATAGTACTATCACCTCTGTGTGTTACATACTGTGTTATTCACTTTTCCTAGCACTTTAGAGCTATTAGATTAATCCTCGCAACAGCTTTCAAAAGCAGTAGTTATTATGTTTATGGTTGTTTTTACATATGAGGAAGCTGAAGCATCCATGCAGCTGGCTGAAGATCATATAACTCATGAGTAGAGCAAGCTTCAGGATTCAACTCAGGTGGTCTGATTCCAAAGTTTGTACAGTTTATCACAGTACAATCATGTGTTATTTCATGGTGGGCATATATTCTGAGAAATACATTATTTGGTGATTTTATTTTATATGAACATCATAGAGTGTGCTTCCACAAAGCTATATGGGATAGCCTATTACTTCTTGTAGACCACTGTAGTAGATGTGGTCTGTCTTGACTGAAATGTCATTATGTGGCTCATTACCATACGTCAGTGCTTCTTCAATGAGTAAGTTAAAACTTGTATATATTGGATGTTTATCGACAAAGCCGATAGATATTCCCATCATAAACAGAGGTGGATAGTGGGACCTAAGAGACGTGAATACACTGACACATTCTTCACTTGATCTTAGCTAAAAGGCAGAAAAATATTACTTACTTATATTGGTTAAAGTAAGTTGTGTCATATAGTCACTGTTATAGTTAAATTAAGGGCAAAAGAATTATTGTTAAAAATTTAATCAAATGCAAATTTTAAAAAAATTGATCTATACAATTGAAAATTGTGCTAGATGGAGGGAAAAAAAGATGTATTTGGAGCTTCAAAGATCCTGATAATATTCTTCAGATGGCTAGCAGCATTTGGTATTTTCTTAACTGCATACATATTTTATATGTACTTTTAGCACTGTATTTTATAATTTTTAAAATCTGTATTTATGTCATTGATTTTAAGAATAAAAATGGATAGAGTAAGGGGAAAGAAAAGAGAAATAAACTAACAACTTTTTTCAATATCTTAAAGTCAACAATTTATGTTAATAATATTATTTTGATTTTTTAAACTAGTCTGTTGTGTTGCTGTGAGGAACTGTTTAGAATGTCGGCAAAGACAGAGAGACAGGGGAAACAAATCTTCCCATGGAAGTAGTAAACCTCAAGAAGTTCCCCAAAATGTAACTGCCACAGCATCTTCAAAGGTAATATTTGCTGTGTTATATATAATTTACCTAGAAATTTTTTTTCTTTTCTTGTTTGTTTGTTTAAGATTATGAGAACAAAGCAACATGGTATTGCTTAATGGGAGAGAAAGGACTTTGTAGTCAGACAACTCTGGGCTCTAATGATGACCTCTTTGCTTCAGAATTGTGTTACCAGGCTATGTAATCTCTTTTGCACTTAGATTGTTTGGTTATTCAAATAAGGTTAACATAAGGACATAGCACTTAAAAGTTCTTCATTACTTCTGTTTTTAATAGTTTCATGTATTTTCATACAGTTTGTGTTGGCATAGTAGGCTGCAGATTACTTGAAGACAGTGTCCATATTTTGAGTATCTTTAAGACTGTGAATACTTTATTTAAAAAAAAAAGGACACATACACTTAGAAACAGTTAGTTCTGAGTTTGTATTGTGCCTTTTTTATTTACTGATTTTGTGACCTGAGACACACTCCCTAGTTCCCTGTCAGTTTTCCAGTCCTTTATGAATATCAATCTTAATTTATAAGTGTTTATATCAATTAAATAAACAGTAATAATGGGGACCAGCAGAAGGAGTAATGGTTATGTTGTTGGACTCCCATGTGGCTGACCATGGTTCGAGTCTTGGATCCTGAGGCTTGAAGCTCATGCTGGGCGTTGTGTTCATGCATGCTTAAAATCCCAAGAGGAGAAGGGATTGCAGCATGGCCAGCCCCATGTGGGGTGGTTTTTTGCTTTCTATCTCTCTCTGGCGAGCACCCTGCCCTATATTTTTTAAAAAATAGGCAATAATGTAATATACTTTAGTTATTCTTGGCAGCAGTAAACATTCGGTTAACGCTAATATCTTTCCCTTCTCTTTTAACATTTAGTTACTCAATATATACTCATGAAACGAAGAAATCAATAGTGTTTTGTAGAGCTTAGATTGTGAATACTTTATTTAAAAAAAAAAGGACACATACACTTAGAAACAGTTAGTTCTGAGTTTGTATTGTGCCTTTTTTATTTACTGATTTTGTGACCTGAGACACACTCCCTAGTTCCCTGTCAGTTTTCCAGTCCTTTATGAATATCAATCTTAATTTATAAGTGTTTATATCAATTAAATAAACAGTAATAATGGGGACCAGCAGAAGGAGTAATGGTTATGTTGTTGGACTCCCATGTGGCTGACCATGGTTCGAGTCTTGGATCCTGAGGCTTGAAGCTCATGCTGGGCGTTGTGTTCATGCATGCTTAAAATCCCAAGAGGAGAAGGGATTGCAGCATGGCCAGCCCCCTGTGGGGTGGTTTTTTGCTTTCTATCTCTCTCTGGCGAGCACCCTGCCCTATATTTTTTAAAAAATAGGCAATAATGTAATATACTTTAGTTATTCTTGGCAGCAGTAAACATTCGGTTAACGCTAATATCTTTCCCTTCTCTTTTAACATTTAGTTACTCAATATATACTCATGAAACGAAGAAATCAATAGTGTTTTGTAGAGCTTAGATTACAAAGGTGTCTGCCATGAATTCACTAGAAAATAGGAAGCCTATCAAGATTTTAAAATCAGTTTGCTCTGATTTTAGAATCAGGACATAAAAGGCCAAAGAGAAGGAAATTTAAAATAATTTAGTTGAGCTAGTTAATTTAATGTCTTTCTGGCAAGAACACTGATAATGAAAAATGTGTAAGTGATAAATGTAGAATTATTAGAGGAAGATTTGACTAGGTAATAAAACATATTTCAAGACAGAGTAAAGGGACCTAGGTGGTATATTTTTCTTCCTGTCCTGATGTCTTTCTTATGTGGCAAAGAAACGTGTTTCTTAGGCTGTATTTAGTAAGTATACCATAGTTGTTTTTTAAAGTTTCCTGCCATTAACTTGTATGAATGTACATGACTCACATACCTCCATGAAGGCCTCATTATTCATTAGAGTGAAAAAGAGGAATAAAACCAGGTATTCCTATTATTTAATCTTTATAAGGATCAAATTAGATTATAAAGAAATATTTTATAAAATGGAAAATGATTAAATAAATGGAAATTTATTTTCTTCATCTATGCTGTAAAATCGTCTGTAACATTATGTTATAAATTGTGTTATTTTCTTTAATCAGTCCATATTTAATATTATTACCCTATTATTTATAATAGATGAATCTGAGGTTTAGAGAGAGCAAAATCTGACCTAAGATTGTAGAGCTGGTAAACTTTAGAGTTGTAATTGGAAACAAATAGCTTTCAACTTTAAAATATCACACTCTTCATTATCCTGAGCTACAAATGAAGCAAACATTTTATTGGACCATTGGAAAAGCTATGGTCCATTTTTAGATAGAAAAACATGTCATGACTTTTCCAATGACACAATAATTTAGATGTAAAAGATCATGACCAATGTCTATAGAGAAATTGAGAGTGACCTATTTATTTGTAATGTAAATATATTATCTGAATTAATGCACCCGATTCTCAATACATTATATATTAATAAAGTGAAAAAGTGGTAGATTTTGACCTTAGGAATCCTAGTTAACTTAATTACTTTGTTATATGACTATACCACCTAAAAATTTGTAGATTTTTGTTTCTTCCACTCTACAAAAAGTTTTGATAGTAAAGCTCTTCAATGTCTTTCAGCTTTAGTTATCTATGATTTTTTTTTTTTTTTTTTTTTCAGTTTTAGTTGTTTTTTATTTTTTTTTTTTTTTTTTTTTTTTTGGAGAGGTTTTGCTATAGGGCTCATGTGCTCAGCAGAAAGACAACTGAGAGACAGAAAGTGAGAAATCACCCCCCGGGGGGATGGCCATGCCGCAATCCCTTCTCCTTCTCCTCCATTCTCTTGGGATCTTGGGAACACACGCACATGCGTCTGGCGTGAGTTTAAGCCACCAGGTCTGAGACTTGAACTGCGGTCGACTACATGGGAGTCCAGCAACATAGCCATCACGTTAACTGCTGGTCCCATATAAATTTTTTTTAAAGCTTAACGTTTCTAAGTTTTTATAGATAGTGAAATAGTTATACATACAAAATATTACATAGCAGTACAGTATAATAATCTCATTATAAAAGCATTATGGATAAATGAAGTCAAAGACTCAAAGAAATTTTAGTAACAAGAGGTAGGAAGGTGAGGGTCAGCAAATTTTAGTAACAACCATGAAATCATATAGCAGAGTATTGAACCCAAATGTTCTAAAGTCCCAAATCCTTCTTTATTTTTATTGCAATTTTATCTGTATTTTCATGTTATAGTGAAAAGACACATATGCTATTATCTATGCCATTTAAGAACACTAGTGAGAAAAACTGACATGAGGAGAGAACAGAAAATGTGCCTTGTAATATTGTATTGTTGTCAATAAATGTTAATTTACTGTGGAAGAGGGAAACAATGTGGCTAATTTAGCCTAAATTACAGATATTAGAAGTGAATATATAACTTTTTATAATAATGTAATTTTTTCATAATTCTCTTTTTCAAAGACTCCATTAGAAAATGTTCCAGGCAACCTTTCTCCTATTAAGGATCCCGATAGACTTCTTCAGGATGTTGATATCAATCGTCTTCGTGCTGTTGTCTTTCGAGATGTGGTAAGTTATGCCTGCTCAGCTTGCCTGAAAAAAATCCTTCCCTTGTCATTTGTATAAATAATTGAAACTGTAAGAAAACTATATATTGAAATTAAATGACCTATTGCCTAAGACTGTAGGTCTGTCACATACTTCTGATTGCAAAATGGTTGAGCCTTAGCCTTTTTAGAAAACTTACTGATTTTTTTTTTTTTTAATGATGCGTCTATATGCTAAGAATAGGGATAGGCCTGAAAAACTGTAACTTACTCTTCTCTTTTAGTATTCCTTGATTCATCTCCAGGTATTGAATGTTTTGTTGTTTTATATGTTGTATTAAGGATTAAATAGATTAATTCATTAGGGGTTATTGACAGTTACTCCTTAGGGGCAGCAATTTGTTTTAAAAGAAGAATCTGTATTTTTGAAATATATGTACCTATCAGAATTTGAGAAAGCTAGCTTAGTAAAGCTTAAGGAAAAAGATAGCTTAAGGAAAGGTTTCTGGAACGCTGCAATCATAGTCACTTAAAGTAAGTAAAACTAAGATCTTCCTTTCCATGAATTGCATAAACTCATATACAGTGTTTCATAGCAGATATAATGTTGATGGCACTCCATGCTGTAGCATTATAAACAAACCATTTTGGAGTCTTTTCTAAAGAGAGATTTTGCTATAGGATATGTGTACTTGCCAGAGAAACAGAGACAGAGTGACAGAAAGTGAGAAATCACCCCTTAGGACCAGATGACCACGCCACAATCCTTCTCCTCCATTCTCCTCTTGGGATCTTTGACACACACACATATGCACTCAGTTTGAGTTTTAAGCCACCAGGTCTGGGACTCGAGCCATAGTTAACTATGTGGGAGTCTGGCAATGTAATCATTATGCCATCTGCTGGTCTCAGAGTCTAGTTTTATTTTAGTTGATGTTTCATGAAATGTATGAGAAAGTTTATGTTTGAAATTTTTATTTAACAATAAATTAGGTGGAGGGCTTTGTACTTTGTAAAGTGGTTAAAATATTTTTAAGTCAGGACCAGCAGTTAGCGTAATGGCTATGTCGCTGGATGCCCACGTAGTCGACTGCGGTTCGCGTCCTGGCCCCGGTGGCTTAAAACTCACGCTGGGCGCGTGTGTGTGTATGCCCAAGATTCCAAGAGGAGAATGGAGGAGAAGGGATTGCGGCGTGGCCATCCCCCTGGGGGGGTGATTTCTCGCTTTCTGTTTCTCTGTCTCTCTCTGTCTGTCCGGCGAGCGCACGCGCCCTATAGCAAAAACCTCTTTAAAAAATATTTTTATGTCATATGGAATAATGCTGCATGATAGGAATGTATAATAGAAAAAATTGTCACTTTGTTTAATATATTTTAGTTCTTCTAAATCACTAGGAAAACTGTAAACAATCTGACAGAGAAATAAGTAATGAACATAAAATATGAACAAGGGAACAAGCATGATAAAAAGTCTGTATCACTCATAGTTAATGAAATGCAAATTAAAACAAGAATGAGTTATTTTTACCTATTAAGTTACCTAAAAATTTTATTTTGCAATACCTAGCATTGGAAGGATACAGTGAAATATATCTGAAATATATCTGATATATCCCTGATATGTGACTATAAATTACATAGACTTTTAAATAGTTCTTCACCAATATGTATTAAAATTCTTACAAATATTGATATCCTGTTACCTACTGGCTTTACTGAGATGTCATTGAGCTTAATGTGTTCATCAGCTATGCCTACAGTAAAATTGGCAGCATTATAATTATCCAATGAAGAGGTTCAGCTTTTTGGCATATTCATTCAGCGGAAAGCTATTTGGCCATTAATGTCATATTTTTAAAGGAAATTTAGTGATATGGTAAAGTGATCATGATATCTCTTAAGAGAAAGCAGAATAAATACATGTATTACACAAATATTACATGTGTATACAGAATGTATGTACATACTCATGTGTACCTTTATTTTTTAAAAAAGTCAGAAAATTCTACCAATGATTATCTTTAGACAAACAGATTTTATTTTGTTCTTTATCCTTTTTTTTTCTTTTTTTTTTTTGGAGAGGTTTTTGCTATAAGGCGCGTGCGCTCGCCAGACAAACAAAGACTGACAGAGAGACAGAAAGCGAGAAATCACCCCTCATGGGGGATGGCCACACCACAGTCCCTTCTCCTCCATTCTTTTCTTGGGTTCTTGGGCATGCACGCACACGCGCCCGGAGTGAGTTTACGCCACCAGATCCGGGACGCGAACCGCGGTCAACTACGTGGGAGTCCAGCGACATAGCCATTATGCTAATTGCTGGTCCCTTCTTTATCCTTTTATATGTCTCTGTATTTTCAAATTTTCTATAATAAGCCTATACTGTTTTATAGCTAGAAAATAATAAATGGTTCTTCAAAAAAGGAGATAGAATTTATTATTGTATAAAAAACATCATATAAGAATCTCACCATAATCTAGACTTTAATCTAGATTTGGAAAAGGGATATTCTTAGTATAGTTTAACCACTACAAATGGGATTTTTTTTTGTTCTTTTTCCTTTTTTTTTCTTTTTTTTTTTTTGGAGAGGTTTTTGCTATAAGGCGCGTGCGCTCGCCAGACAAACAAAGACTGACAGAGAGACAGAAAGCGAGAAATCACCCCTCATGGGGGATGGCCACACCACAGTCCCTTCTCCTCCATTCTTTTCTTGGGTTCTTGGGCATGCACGCACACGCGCCCGGAGTGAGTTTACGCCACCAGATCCGGGACGCGAACCGCGGTCAACTACGTGGGAGTCCAGCGACATAGCCATTATGCTAATTGCTGGTCCCTTCTTTATCCTTTTATATGTCTCTGTATTTTCAAATTTTCTATAATAAGCCTATACTGTTTTATAGCTAGAAAATAATAAATGGTTCTTCAAAAAAGGAGATAGAATTTATTATTGTATAAAAAACATCATATAAGAATCTCACCATAATCTAGACTTTAATCTAGATTTGGAAAAGGGATATTCTTAGTATAGTTTAACCACTACAAATGGGATTTATTCATCATGAAAAAGGGTGTTGTAAAATGCATTTTTTTTAGGTTTATTTATTTATTTTTTCCCATAGTACTCGTGAGCTCGCAGGAGAAAGACAGAGTCAAAAAGAGGGAAAGTGAGAAATTACTTCCCAGAGAGGATGGCCAGGCTTCAATCCCTTTACTACCACTCTCCTCTTGGGATTTTAGGCATGTAGGCACATGCACCTGATAGGATTTTCAAGCCACTGGATTCGGGACTCAGACCCCAGTTGGTCATGTGGGAATCCAGTGTCTTTAGCACTGTGTCACCAACTGCTCAATGAAACGTATTTTTTTTAAGAGAATTTTTTTCTATAGGACACATGCACTTACCAGAGAGACAAAGAGAGACAGACAGACAGGCAGACAGAAAGCAAGAAATCCTCCCCCCTCCCCCCTCAGAAGGATGGCCACATCACAGTCTCTTCTCCTTCAGTCTCCTTTCTTGGGATTTTGGGCACACATGAACATGCACCCAGCATGAGTTTCAAGCTACCAGGTCTGGTAATCAAACTGTGGTCGCTTTTGCGGAGTCCCTTGACATAACTATTATGCCATCTACTATCCTTAAAATGCATTTTTTAGTAAATGAATGATTAAAACTTGTAGCACATCTTCATTTCCAAAAAGTCACAGCCAGTTCTAACAGAAAATTCAGAGGAGATGTATATTAAGTATGACACTATGTTTAAATTTTAGTAAATTTTAGATTAGGTTATTATGGTTCATTGTGGTCATTTCTCTTAAATTCATAGTTTTGTGAATATGTTGGATAAGTCAGCAGTGATGCTTAGCTTCCTTACTGAAGAAACGGAATTTAATTAAGAGTTACCATGTTGTACCTTCCAAATACCATCAGGATGATATAATTTGTATTCCTTGAGTTTATGCTATGTATTAGGCACTGAATCTGTATTACATTTTTAGTTAAGGGTTAAGGAAAAATTAAGACTCAGAAGTATTTAGACCATACAAATGAATTTATGTAGAATCAGAATCCCAACCCTATTACCTCCTATGATAGCTTCCAGAGCATTCTCTTTTCATCATCGTATTTCATGGATTCCAAGATACCTTTTTAAAAAATTTACAATCTATCATTTATATTGTACATCTTGATAGCATACAATATGGCTTTTTTTTTTTGGAGTTGTGCCTGTAGTACATGACAATCAAGTGAAAAATATTACCGTATACATCATTTTCAACAAAGAACTTTACTTTTTTTGGTCTGTTAAATGTTTCTTCCAAGATGTCTTCCCTCCACACACATTTAAATCTGTGAAATTTGGAAGTGTTTTATGATTGATAGTATTTTAGAGTCAGTTGTAGATACTATGCTTAAAATTCTCTACTTCTGAAATTTTTACAAACCAATAGTCATTTTAGTTGCCTTAATTCTAAAATAAATGAGATTAAAACTATGTATTTTAAGAAATATGTATGCATATATATATATGTGTGTGTGTATGTGTGTTTGTGTACCTATGTATGTTTAACCACAAATCAAATACATCTTGTTTTCTTCCAGTCTTTCTTAGCTATTTAACTTTTCAAATATATAGTTTTCTTAGTAAGATCTCCCCCTACTACACATACATACTTATATTAGAGTTTAAGGATTTTTATGATTTTCAGGGACTTCTGAATTTTTTTTGTACTAAGAAGTGCATAGTAGCTTTATGACAGAAGGGAAATTTGACAAATTGTGAAAAATAAATTCCTCTTCTTAGTCATTTACTTTCTGATATGAAGACATTGCCAATTTAAACTCTCATGTGAACAGTTTAGACGTAGGTTAAACAATTGGGTGGCCAGATTTGCTATGTGGTAAGAAAAATATGGGTTAAAAAAAAGATAGAAAGAAACTAAACTTTGTTTTCGGTGTTTCTCATTAGACTGAAGTTTGAAAGTATTCATTATGCTTCTCTTTTCCCCAGAGCCTAAATTTATACTAGGTCACCTATATCTAAAATAAAATAAAGATGAAGTAAATTTTAATACTTAAATATGAATTGAGAAGTTTTCTATCATGCTAGGTAAAGAATTAAAAATTTTAAAGGTTTTGGGGTTAACTAATTATATTACTTATTCATGATTGAATAGTGGAGACAGACCCATTCTTTAAGCAGATGGGAGAAACCTAGTAGCATTTGTATCTTCATAATAATGAAGTGCCTAAGCATGTCAATTAATTCGTGTAAAAATGTAGTCATTCTCAAGACGTTTAGCCTTTCTGTATGTTGGGCTTCAAAGGCAGAACTGGGAATAAACAGCACAATAGGCTCAAAGATGTAGATTTAAAAAGAAAAGTCAACTCTTTTCAAGTTATGTATGCTCTAAGGGAGATTTTTGTTTTGTTTTGTTTACATTTAATCATTGTATGTTTTTAGAGCATACAAGATAGTTTTTCAAAGCATGCATGTAGTGCACGTCAATCAAATTTAAGATATTTCTATATACATCATCCTCAACAGATAACTTCTACATTCTTGTGTCTGTTAAACATTTTTCCCCTGAGTCCCTCCTACCCTCTACTAGCCACCCCCTCTTCTACAGTCTCTGATATCTACCCTTGCCCTCCTGCTATGATGTCTTCAGATCTTTACATTTTTTGCCACACCAAAGAGTGCAGACATTTGCTGTCTATTGAGTTAGGACATATGTCTGTCTTTTGTAGTCTGGCTTGCTTCACTTAGTATTAAATCTTATATATTCATCCTTTTGTGTCTGACAGGGTCTCATTGTTTTTATGGCTTAGAAGTATTCCAAATCTGGGACCAGCAGTTAGCATAATGGCTATATCGCTGGACTCCCATGTAGTCAACCGTGGTTCGCATCCTGGATCCGGTGGCTTAAAACTCATGCTGGGCTCGTGGGCGTGCGTGCCTAAGATCTTGAGAGGAGAATGGAGGAGAAGGGATTGTGGCATGGCCATCCCCCCTGGGGGGCGATTTCTCGCTTTCTGTCTCTCTCTCTGTCTCTCTCTGTCTGGCGAGTGTACGCGCCCTATCGCAAAAACCTCTCCAAAAAAAAAGTAGTATTCCAAATCCAGGAAACTCAAAGATTATCAAATAGAATCAACATAAGATCTTCCTCACTGCACATCACGGGAGGTTTTAAGTTGGCTATCAAAATAGTTCACAGTGTCTGTTACTTAAAACTATGCAACTTTATAGTTAATATTCATTTCTCATTCATTGATCCATTCATTCTGCATATATTTGTTGGATGCTTTATAAATGCCTGGTACTAGTAGTGGAAATAGAAGTATTGTGCAATTATGACTTTCACAAATTGAGCTGTGTATGAATTGATTCTTGGTGGGTATCTACATTGGTCTGATTGTACTTCATTTCCCCTTATAATAACTACTTAAGTATTTGATTTTGTCCATTATATGCTTATTTTATCAGCATTGTAATGGAAGGAGTATGCATTTAAAACTCCTGAAAAAACTTATGTTTAGAAAAGTCTGTGATCCAAAGTATATGAAATACTAGATTCATATTTCAGAACAAATTTTACCTATTTTGTTTATTGTCATTATTAACTAATTCTGTTTCACATTATTAAATCATTATTAAATATTTCTCATTTTCCTTATTTCTATCATGTTTTAACCTATTGTCTGAGGACCACAGTAACTATCTGCAGTTTTAGTTTGGCAGTATCAGTTCTATCTAGCTTACAAAAAAAAGGTCTTCATAAACCTTTACATTTTATTTTTTTGAGTAAGCTAATCAGAAGTAGTATTAGAGGTCAGGTAAATTAACCATCTTACAATTATTTCCATAAAGGATGGTTATCTATGCATTTGACTAGAGCTGTGAAGGTTATAAAGAGCTTGTTAGATTCTTGAATACTTATTATAAAGTTATCTTCTCTACCATATTGCAGTCTGCTTTTTATTACTGTTATTTTCTTATCCTGATTTGGCCAAGTTTTTTAGACCTTTTACCACATTTCTGTTCTCTTATGGGAAAAAAAAACATTTCATTTTATCATTGAGCTTTTGAAATGAGAAGCCTTAAATTTTGGCAGTGTTTTAAAGGTCATTTTTCAGTCCTGATGGATAGGACTATTACTTCTTATTTGTAATTGCAATCAAAGATTGAGTTAGCCTTTCTTTACGCTGTCACTTCACATTTCTACCTCCTATTGAGCTTGTGTAAAGTTCATATTTTATGTTCCCCATTGTTACATCCCTCTCATCTTGTACTCATGTAGTATATCGCTCAGGTAGTAGTAATAGTTTAAAATTTTATATCTATCCTATAGTAATTATAATTATTTTATTGATTTTATGCAATTAATAATATTTACAATTCTTAATTTTGGGGTAAGTTTATTTCTTCAGACTAGGAGAGAGAAAAACAAGTATGCTCAATGCCATAACCCTTAACCTTTACTTTTTAGCTAGCCAGAATCATGGGCATGCACAGATGCACCCAGCCAGTACAGGTTGACCTGGGAAATGTCTGTCGTTACAGAACATTGTGTTACTGTTGTTAGCACTGATTCTGAGCCATAGAACTCTTGATTTTTTTTTTCTTTTAATTGCCAGAGAGTAGGTATACTCACCAGAGAGAGACAGAGAAACAGAATAAGATATGGTGAGAAACTCTCACAATGGGGCATGGTCACACCACAGTCCCTTCTCCATTTCTTCATCCTGTCAGGATTTTGGGCAAACATTCCCAGTGTGTTCTTTAATCTACCAGGTTGGGATTTGACCAGTTTTAGGCCATATAGAATCTGACTTCCTTAACCACTGGGTAATGGGGCTGACCCAAAACTTTTGATTTTTAAAATTCAGAATATTAAATTATTTTCTTCAGCTGTGTGCCATCTCCACATTTTGTAAACATACATACTAATTTGTTAAGCAAAAGGTGACAATAATGATAAAAAAAACAAAGATCGTTTTGCCACAAATCTGACAAAATTCTATCTTTCTATTCTTTTTTTTTTTTTTTTTTTTTTTTTGAGAGATTTTCACTGTAGGGCGCGTGCGCTCGCCAGACAGACAGATTTATAGAGACAGGAAGCGAGAAATCACCCCCCAGGGGGGATGGTCACGCCGCAATCCCTTCTCCTCCATTCTCCTCTCGGGATCTTGGGCACGCACGCACATGCGCCTGGCGTGAGTTTTAAGCCACCGGGTCCGGGACAGGAACCGCGGTCGACTACGTGGGAGTCCAGCGACATAGCCATTACGCTAATTGCTGGTTCCCTATCATTCTATTCTTGATACTACATTTCAACCTTTTAACTTTGATGGTAACGTTTCTAGAGTTTTGTATTTATACTTAAATGATACTTACTAACTAACAATATATATTTTAGCATGTTTGAATAAAGTTAAATATCTTTTGCCTCCATAGAGAGAATGAAATAAGAACAATTTCTTATACTCTAAGAACTTATACCGTAACAATTTTGAGTATCAAAATTGCCTTTTCATTTTACACAGGATGATAGCAAGCAGGCACAGTTCTTAGCTCTGGCTGTTGTTTACTTCATTTCTGTTCTGATGGTTTCCAAGTATCGTGACATATTAGAACCCCAGCGAGAGACTGCAAGAACTGGAAGCCAACCAGGTAGAAATATCAGACAAGAAATAAACTCTCCAACAAGTACAGGTACTTAATTTTTTAAGAATTATTTGAATTTGTGTCATCATTAACTTCCTTTTTCCTACTTTTACATGCAGATTTAATCTTTTCCTATTCATTATATCCTCAAATATTTATAAATAGTTGGTATATAAGTGCTCATTTAATCTTTAATTCCACAGAAATGTATGAACATGTCTGTAATATTTTCGATATTCTCATTTTATCAAAATGGTTTTGGTTTTGATGTTTTACATTTAATACAAATCATTCACTTATACCATTATTTAATATGTAAATAACTCATATATTTTTTAATTTATTACTTTTTAAATTTTAAAATCATGAAAATAGGAGGTCCTTAAACAGTTGTTCAAGACCAGGAATAAACCAAAATATGAATCTTCATACTCATACCCCAAAATAGCATTCTTTCTTTCTTTCTTCTTCTCATCTTCTCCCCCTTCTTCTCTCTCCCCTTTATTTCTGTAGTTAATTCAGTATGTAAATATTCTACCAGTGATTTATAGCAAGAAATTATATGTCTTTTAAATTTTATACCAGGTAGCCTCAACTAAAATCAACAACCTGTGGAAAGTTTACATCATAGACAACAATGAAACATCTTGGGTCATGTTGTCTTTCTTATTTGTAGAAAATGCTCTTCTTGCAGGAATTCTTGCATTACAGAGTTTACTTACTATGTTTGAAAACTATAACCAAAATTTCTGGCGACTAATATTGTAGTATCATTGTTATTTTAGTATCATTTGCATTTCCTGCCAGGTGTTTATATCAAGGTTGTCTCTTTGTTATTTGCAGCCAAACCTTGGTAACCCAATGCTATATTTGATTAATTTGTAGTTAAAATTTCTTTTCCTAAATATGTACACATACCTATAAATAAAATGTACATTTAAAAAAGTGAATAGAAATTAGTGGTCAAATCTCTGCATTTTGTCTTCCGTAAACATATCACATCTCATTTACATTTTAAAAACTGTCATGGAGATATGATTATGTTTTAGCTGTAATATTTTGCTCTCGCATGCCATATTTACATTTAGCTCATAAATATTGTTTCATTATAGTGTACTTTCATGTTTAATTTTATTTTTTAAACATTATCCTACCATTCTAGCCTATGTCTTTTCAGCATTTGAAACATCATGAATCTATCTTCTCTTTTTTTCTCATTTAGAATGTATTCATTTTCATCTTATATGTATAAAATGAGCAATATTGTAGTGAACCTTCCAGTTCTGATTTTCTTGTGTTTTTGTATGTCTTTGTGAATCCTGCTAAAATTATTCTACTTAGTAAGTGTATTATTTTTTTGTCTTAGTACATAACCTCTTTCCTTACTTCAGAGATGCATTCTTTATTGCTAGTACTGTTTGCATGTTGCAGTAATATGGAATTGTCATGGATCTTCAGTGGATCATGCTGGCTCAAGTTTGATTCCATGATTTTCTCCACAGTTGTGGTCATACCATCTATCCCTCATCCAAGTTTGAACCATGGATTCCTTGCCAAGTTAATTCCTGAGCAGAGCTTTGCCCACTCATTTTACAAAGGTAATATTGACCTCATCTCCTGACCTGTTTGGGTATTATTTCATGAGTTACTGTAAATATTCATGATATAATTATTTATAAACAAGTATACACCTCAGGTTTCATGGAGATAAAATATATTGTATTTATATCTAGCTATTAAGGAAAAAATGCATAGGTTTTATATTTCTTTGAGTTTCATCTGTAAATTAAGGGTACCTAAGTATACATCTATTAATGCATACATTGGTGGCATTAGTTTAAGTTCACAAAGAATCACATTTTAGTAGTGGGGCCAACTTAATATGAAATGAAGGCTACTCTAGACGCACTAGACAGAAGCTTGAAAACAATTCTCAGATGCCTCAAGCTGGGTTGGCCCTATAGCATAGTGGTTAATGGAGCCAGATCCCACATAGCCAACTGAGATTCGAGTCTTGTCCTCAATAGCTTGAAAAACATTCCAGGCAAGTATGCATGCATGTCAGAAATCTCTATCTATAAGTTACTTAACTTCTGATTAGAACAAAGAACAACACTCTTTAAAGCAATGGGAAAAGTCCTTCACCAGAAGACAAAAATTAAATGTTAAGTGTACATCAAGAAAAAATTACTAAATAGGCACAGAAAGAGAAAGTGTGATCTATAAGCATGAGGAAATAAATTACTAGAAATAGATTCAGAAACAATAAAAATGATAGAATTATCAAATAAAGACATTAGAACAACTATTATAAATATGTTTGAGATGTTTTTCATTTTAAAAGAAAAAGTGAATGTAATGAGAGAAGTGGAAGATGTAAAGAAAAAGAACCTAGGAGCAGTTTTAGAGATAAAAAGTGGACTAGCAAAAATGGTAATGTCTTGGTGTAGCATTAATATAAGATCAGTGACTATTGAAAAATAGAACAAAGGAATTAATAAGCAGAATTCTGTGATGGCTCTAAGACAGTCCTGTACACATGCCCTGCAAAATTCCTGAGATGATGAGTATGATAGATTTTACTCCGGTGATTAGATTATATATTATATGATATAGTTATTTTTAAGAAAAAGTGATTATTCAGGTGGTTCTGACCTAATTTAATGAGCTCTGTGAAAGCAGTAAACTTTTTCCATTGGTTGTGGAACAGGAAATCAGAGACTTGAAGATTTGACATTAAAGAGAGTCCTTATTGCCAAAATGGAGGTGACCATGGAGCAAGGACTACAGAAAACCCTTATAGGAGCTAAGAGCTGACAACTAGCAAGGAGGGTATATTAGTCCTACAATAACAAAGATCTCAATTTTTCTGTAACAGGAATGAATTTGGAGTAGGGACCCTGACCTCCAAATGATACATAGTTCTAAGCATTTTATAACTCAATAATGATATGGAAGACCAACTTTGGAAATAAATAAAGCTACAAAGTATTTTTTGTTAAAACTTGATGAATGCACAGATACTATTTTTTATATATAAATGTTCAACATTTGGGCAATATGATGAAATGAAGGGGACATTTTTTTCAACTTTTTTGCTGACACATTTTTCTCTGAGCTATATAAACTAAGAAGGATTAGCTTGTCAAGAAGCATCATCTGAAAAAAAAAAAAAAAAAAAAAGCCATCTTTTTGAGTTTTTTGGAAA